AAAAAAAAAAAAAAAAAAAAAAAAAAAAAAAAAAAAAAAAAAAAAAAAAAAAAAAAAAAAAAAAAAAAAAAAAAAAAAAAAAAAAAAAGAAGGAACTCCTGTCATTCTTTCTCAGGCCATATAGAATATAGACAGAGCACCATTAAGGGTTAAGAGAATCACACCTGACCTTGCCCAGAGAAGATGAAGTTGTCAAATTTCATTGCATTATTGTAGTAGAMTATGTGAATGCGCCACAAGGAAAGGTGGGTCTCAAACACAAGGCACCACTTAAGCCACAGGGCTCCGGTCTCACTTTCCCCAGCATTCCCTGCTCATGGACCCCACTGCCCCCTTAGCTCCCGGTTACACTGCTGGACAGAGCCTTGCCAAAGCAGGGAACAGGGCACCTACCATGGAAAAGGCCACTGCCTAGAAGTTGCATACTGTAATAGCTGAAGATGAGCAGGGCCAGAAGAAAGCAAAAACATCATCTGTTAGTTTCATAGTACTCTGCTTTCAAACTTCATTACTCAGACATCAGTACCACTGTGCTTCTCACTAGCACTCTCATTTTTGAGAAAGGTAGGTTTTACAATGTTATCTTCCAGGCAAGTCATCTGAGAATTTAGTTAGTTTTCAAACCCGTCATTTGAGCGAAAAACTATTTCATGAACTCGACCACAAAACAGTGCATTCACCTCACTCTGACAAAGTTTATTCCACAATGGCACTTATTTGTCAGTCCAGTTTCTCGTGAAGTCTTCAAACTACCCAAACAGGAAGGACTCTCTTGCAGGCATAGCCCTCTAACTCTGGAGAGAAGTCTCGCTGCAGTCCACTGTTTGCTAAATAAATGCGATCTACTGCCCAGTGAGCCAGGAGACCAAATGAGCCAGGGAAAGCARAATCCCGACAGAGCCCCGGAGGCCTGAGCCCCGGGCACGCTCGGCGCCACCGGGCTATTGAATGTAGTCTGCGGGGAAAGAGCAACACAAACTTTTCCCTCCCTCAGGCCCAGCCTCCGTTCGCGGGATGCACAGGGGAGGGAGGAAGGACGCGGGTGACATCTCACGCTCCTCCCAGGGACCCGAAACGCGCTCCGACCCCGGGGCCGGAGCACAGCCCGAGAGGGGCCCGGGGCCCGGGGGGGGCCCCGAGGGTCGCTCCCACCCGCCCTACGGTGGCTCCGCGACACCAACCAGGCGCGAGGGCTGGGAAAGCCTCGGAGACAAGCTTGCCCACCGCCCGTCCAGCTCGGGCCCGGCGGCGGCAGCGCAGAGTTCAGCGCGGCGGAGGCTCCGGGCGGCGCCCGTGCAACCCAGGCCCCGCCGGCAGCRAAGCTGGCCGGGCTCGGCAGCGCCGTGACGGAAGGCCCAGTCACCTTACCTGCGCCGAGAGCCCGGCAGGCATGTCGGGGCGGGCCGCTCCCTCAGGCCGCCGGCGCCACGGGGCCGCGGCCGCACGGGACCGGGAGCGCCGCTCGCTGCGCTCGGCCCGCTCCCGCTTCCGGCAGCGCCACAAAGCGCACGGCGGGGCCGTGCCCTGCGCATGCGCGACCGCGGTACAGCGCGACTCCCCGCCCCCAGCACGCGGTCCTTGCGCGGGCGGCACCGAATAAGTCGCAGGGACAGGGTGTGCGCATGCGCGGAGCGGTCGGGGCCGTTCCTTGCGCCGCGGTGGTGCTGTTGCTCTTAAAGGAGCCGCGCACTCCGCTCCCCGCCCCCCCGCAATCCCCCGGCCGCCCGTGGATCCCGTCCCGTCGGAGAGGTTGCCATCTCCCCGTTCCCTCGGCGCTGCAGCTGGGCCCGTGCTGGGCCTGTGCGGCTCACTGGGACCGACCACCCCCGGGCCCTCGGGTGCGAGAGCTGCTGCAGGCCCCAGAGGCAGAGCTGGGCCTGTCCAGCTTGACTCCCGCGGGCAGCGRCCGGGAGCCGCCGGTGCCACTCCGCCCGCCCGGCTGCGGCTCCTCTTCCACCGCCATCGCAGTGTCTGCAGGGTGCTGTTGTCCGGCCCGGTCTTGCCCTGCCCTCAGGCCCCGCTGCTGCTGCGCYCCGGCCCGGCCGTGGCTTGAAGGGTACAGCGCCAGCGCCAGCGCCAGCTCTGTTTCCCCAGGCCTTGTCTCGTCTTTCGCGCGGGTTTTATTCCCGTCCCGCGTTCATTTGCTGCTCCCCTGGCCCATAGCATTGACAAATCTGCAGGTCCCGATAGTCCTCAGTGAGCCACAGCGCCCTGGGTTACCTGTGTTCAAACAGTGTGGGCAGAGGTGAGGGGGGGGATTCTGCCCCTCTGCCGTGCTCAGGTGAGACCCCACCTGCAGAGCTGCCCCAGCCCTGGGCCCAACATAAGGATCTGGTGCCACTGGAGCAAGTCCAGAAGAGGCCATGGAGATRGTCTTGGGGCTGGAGCCCATCTGMTCTGGAGCCAGGCTKGGAGAGCTGGGGTATTCACCTGGAGGAGAGAAAGCTCCAGGGAAACCTCAGAGCCCCTTCCAGGGCCTAAAGGTGCTCCAGGTGAGCTGGAGAGGGACTGGGGACAAAGGATGGAGGGACAGGACAAGGGGGAATGGCTTCCCACTGCCGGGGGCAAGGTTAGAATGGATGTTTCTTTGTTGTGAGGGTAGTAAAACAGTTTTCCCAGAGGACCTGCAGTGGCCCACCCGTGGCAATGTTCAAGGCCAAGCTGGAGAGGGCTTGGAACRACCTGGTGTAGTGGAAGGTGTCCCTGCTGATTGCCGGRGGCTTGGATTAGGTGGCCTTTAAAAAGTCCATTCCAACTACTCTCTGATTCCATGAAACACAGCCAGTGGAAAAGGCAGCACAGTACACTGCAGGAAGCAGTGCCTCGCTCCACAGCCCAGCAGGAATGGTGTGGGGGCCCGGTGTCCTGAGAGCCCCTGGCAATGGGCCACTTTACCTCACTGCCTGCTGCAGCTGGGGAATGGCACCATCCACCTGCCTGCGTTGCCCCCAAGGACATGCTGTGTTCAACTCTCTGCTGTGTTCTCTGCTTCCTGCAAGCGCGAACTGTGCTCCTGATCCCTTCCTAGCAGGAAGATCTCTGGTCTGCACCTCCTGTGCATGGAGGCTGCTGACAGCAAGGGATGTGTGTTTCATAATAAAGATTTGCTTAGTGCTTTTACTGTAAATCTTTTCTTTCTCTTTGTTCTGCCCCCAAGGGGAGAGCAGGGCCCTTACAAGACACATCCCTTCACAGAACCGTGAAYCTCTGGTGACTAATCAAAAAATAAAAGGGCTCTGGAGGGATGTTAGTGAGGCTGCTGAGGTGATTTGATGCAGCATGGATGGAGAAGACTGAGTGGAAAGGGCATTTGTTACACAAGCAGAGGCTCGGAGTAAACAGTCACGTATGCAGAGGTGAAACTCTGCRAAGCTGGCTCATCAACCCCCGTTCCCCAAGGCACAGTCTGCTTGCCATGCYCGCCTTCCTTTTGGCCCCTTTACCTGATAGAGGAGCAAACGCTCCTTCCAGTCTCCTACATTAAGCTTGACCGCAGCAGGGCAAGGGAAATTGAAATTTACCTGTAGTAGCCCAGGGAGAGTCRCCTTTCTCTGTGTGCTCACTGTGACTTCAAAACTACTGAGAGTGGCCTCAGGATTGCTGGCTGCTGCAGTGCTGCCTCCCAGCCCTCTCCAGTTCACCCTGGACTCAATGCACCTTACCATTGTCATGTAACATTTATGTATAAACATGCCAAGATCACTGTCTCTTGCTTTCTTATCCACTCAGGGCTCTGTCTCCAAAGCCAAGCTGCAGCAGGACTGCTTGTGGAGCACAATGGAAGATCCCCATCCCCAGCACCACCATGGATCCTGACAGGACACTGCTGGGCATTGAGGGGCCGGTGACCCACGCACGCACAGCCCCAAGGGGTGTAGGCCTTGTACCCTGATGGCATTAGTGCATACTCTGTATCCCTGCAGCCCTGCACTCCAGGGATCTGATGCCACAGACCATTGAATCCACATGGTGTAGTAATTGGGTTCATCCTTTCACCCTCCCAGCCAAAGTCAGGGACTCTCTGCTCCCAATGTATTCACTGCTGGATTCTTGTGGTTTCAAACCACAAGTTCCCTCATCAGGGTCTGGAGGAGAGGTAGTCTCAGCCCTTCTTCTGCCTCTGTACTAATGATGTCATCAAYGTGATGCAGACATTCAGGAGTATCACCCTGTAACAGTGCTGAATCAGACCATGACAAATGGTAAGGCTGTGCTTCCATCCCTGGGACAATTCCAGATGTGTTGGGACGCCCTTGACTTAACAGCAAGCCATGGCTTGCGCTCTACTGCTACAGGGACTGAGAAGAACACAGGGGTAATATCACTTATGKCATTCCATTAGTCTGCTTGGGCTCTAGTTGATACTGGAGCTGGCCCCAGCACATCTGGGACAGCAACACTTGGTGGTGCTGTGACTACTGAGGTCATGATAGCCCACTGCTATCTCCCTGCTCTAATTTTAACATGCCCATATGCAACAGTTAAAGGGTGAGTGGGTCCTGCTGATCACTCTTTGTCTYTCCAGCTGACAGTCAGCTCATGGCTGGAAATCAGGGGGCATCAGATGGTGGGTTGTTGCTGCATCTTCAACCTCAGAGCAACCCCACAACAGAGGCATCCTCCAAGAGTCCAGGCAATGGAGACAGCTGCTTAATTTTCTCTGTACCTAAAGCAGCTACACCAAAGACCCAGCAGTACCCTTTTGGGTCCTTGAATTACCCTCCCCTGAGGTAGTCTATGCCAAGGATACATGGGCCTCTGGGCCTGTTGTCATAGGTTGCTTTTGCCACTTGTGCCGCGTTAAGTTCACTCCAGCCTCCAATACAGACAACAGTTGGGCTTCATTGGCTCATTTCCTTCARCTTTTATTGCTGAGCTTGACGCCATATGGTTTGGAATACCTCTTTGGTCAGTCAGTTTGTGGCTCTGTCCCTTCCCAGCTGCCTGCCCACCCGCAGTCTTCCAGTCCCTGGTAGGGAAGATCCATCACTGCAGAAATCATGGCATGTGAGCCAGGAATGACATATTTCATCTTGGATGGACAAGGAGACACCCCTCACTGTGTTCCCCAGGGTGTGTGATATTGTGAAATAATGTCATTGTTTGCCTCACACAGAACCTGTGTGGAGCCTTGCACAGGTTTTGCCACAGCTTTCATTTTCTGGATGCTGAGTAGCAGCCCATGTGAAGTTCTGGCTAATCCTGCCCTCTGGACTCTCCAAGGTTCCTCCATGGCTGCACTGTGTGGTGGAGGACTGTGTGGTGGAGTTTGCACACCACTGAGCTGCAGGGCATAGAACTCAGAGTGGGGCCTGATGGTTCATAACCTCGGGCTGCACTGGGTGGGAAAGAGGGGCTTGGTGATAGTTCTGTGCATACCAAGAGCCTTTGCTGTAGGATGACAAGCAGGTGCAAGGATATATTAGGCACAGCTGAACCTCTGAAATGATARTTTTACACTTCTTTTGAGGTGGATCACACATTTTATAACACAACTACCAGGTACATTGGAATCTAGTCCATGTGAATTGTTTCCTTKCCCAGGTGAAGGCAAAAATATATTGAGATTCCAGATGCATCATAACAGGACARAGGCTTCACACAACTCAATTGCTGTAAACCGCTCGGCACTAGCCAGWGTAATATGGTGATCATTGTAGAAAGATCATGAACTACTGGCTGTGGTACAGTGACCCATTTATTCATTGCTCGCAAGTCTTGGACAAATCTATAAATTATTTTTCAATCCATAGGGTTTTTAATGGGCAAGGTAGGAGTATGACAGGGATACTCATGAGAAATTCCAGGAAAAGACCTCATGTGTTGGGAGAAAAGAGGCCAGGGAATTAAAAAACTGATGTTGGCATCGGGTGGGAGTTCCCTTTGCCCACAGCTGTGACCAGTAGAGCTTAAAACTGCTCATAGTCACCACTTTGTGGTACCAGACTGCATGAAGCTCTTTTCTCATTTTGTGACCCAAGAGGATATGATGGTGTGCTGTCAAACACAAGCCTGATTGACCACGTAGAAGATAGCAGTGCTCAGGCAACACTCTTTATCCAGGATTGGAACAACAGCTTTCAAAAAAAGAATAACATCAGGAGAAGGCTGTTGGCATTTAAARAACCAAAGGAAAAGGTTTGTCTTGTTGTAAGGCCATTTTGCAAGAGATTGTTATCCATTCACTAATCACCCTATTAATGCTGTTCTACTAGTTACACTCTCTGACCAGTCTTGTTGTGGTTTAYACTGCACATAGCAGCATCTGGGACAAGGTATTATGTAAACCCGATGGAGAATGGGGAAGTAAAAATGCAGTTTTCAACTTTCTCYGAAAAGCTTCTTTCAAAATTAATGCCTCATTTTCAAATTTCATTTGAGATGCACTGGTCAGGAGTCACTGGTTTCTCCCTGTCCAGTGACTTGGTACCCACAGCTGCAGGCAGGGGGGCACCACCCCATGCTCCCACCTCAGCGCCCTCCCAGTTCTCCCCAGCAGCACA